ATGGGAAGAGCTCAACAATCTCTGCACGGAGTATTGGGCACCTGCTGAACCAGCTGTTAGACTGGAAATGGCCCCAATGGTTTGTCTTTGGCTTCAAAATGCCTATTTATCTCATTGTGTCACTCTTGTTTGATGTTTCACTTTGCTCTACCTCATGGAGTTCTTGTAGTCTGTAGATTGTCTTGAATACCATTTCAAATTTGTGTGGCACAATTTTAAACCGAACAGTAGATCCCGACGGTTGTTCTAGTATCCATTTTGCTTAAGTAAAAAGTCAATTAATTACATTTGTGATAGATCAAAACCAGTTTAACTAGTATCTGTTTTCATGATATTACTCTTATGGCATCTATTCTTGCTCTATTTGTTTAGTAAGTGTGTGATCTGTTAATCCAGGCTGCTAGTGCTGCTTGGAACATGGGTGAATGGGATAAGATGGAAGAGTATGTTTGTCGATTGGATGATGGAGATGAAAACAAGCTTGGAGTTTTGGGTAATACTGCTGTTACAGTGGATGGGAGCAGTATTGGGACCTTCTTCAGGGCTGTCTTATTAGTTCATAGGGGGAAGGTAAAGGTTTAGCTGTTTATTACCTAGTTTTTTATTCCTTAACAAGGAGATGCCTAATTGCTTTTCTTCTTTTAAAATACAGTATGATGAGGCACGTGAATATGTTGAAAGAGCAAGGAAATGCTTGTGTACAGAAGTGGCTGCCTTGGTTAGTTTTCTCCATCTATAAAAGTTTATTAAGTAAAAGATGAAGAAGTACTATCCAATGTTGTTGGAAAGTATTGTCTTACCGTATATCATATTTTTTTATTGTCTATACTCTATGGCAACATTATTGGTTCTTATGTGGTTGCCATACTTTTAATTACCAGGGGTTCATAGTAGCTATATTCCCAAAGCAGAAAAATATACTTCATTAATTATAGGTGGCAAAACTCATGAGATATAGTTGTTGATTTAATGTGGCATGCATGCTTAATATGAGATGAATGATCACATATATATGCACATATCAAGATTTAGATGGATGTTACACTTAGTATTTATCAGACGTCTGGTGGCTTTGAAATCATATATGTTTCCCTCTTGCTAGGTTCTTGAAAGCTATGAACGTGCATACAACAATATGTCCGCTTTCAGCAGCTATCAGAATTGGAGGAGGTATATGCTCTTGAGCCATTTCATCAACTTTCTACCTAAGCTTATTTTTACTTTTATTTTTTTTGGGTGTTGGATTTAATATTGTTGAAGCATTATGATACGTATAATAGTTGTCTGATGCCCTTTCCGAGTTAGGTCATTGATTACTGTACACTTCCGGCTGAAATCCCTGTTTCTGAAGGGCGTAGGGCCCTCATCCGCAATATGTGGAGAGAACGAATAAGAGGCGCAAAACGAAAAGTTGAGGTGGGACATATTGACGTTGGTTTTAGTAATAGAGAACATTTCGGTGGTAACAACGAATCGATAAGCACGTCTATTGTTTCTTCCAGTTGGGAAATTATAGACAGTTACATTTTTTTCACGAAATTATTTTAGTTTTTATTTTTTATTTTATTTTGTGAATGATGTGGCATTTCAAAGGAGGTCCTTGGAGATGACCAAGGTTAAGTTGAGCAGGCTGTACATGGTGTTGATTATACAGTAGAATGGCGTAGCTGGATTAGTATATTGAAAGATGGAGATATTCAGCTTCATCTTCATCTTCATGATTTTTCAAGACATATTTAATCCTTTTATATGGAATTGACCAAAAACTTAGACTTACCTAACCTCCTGCTAGGGGTCAATTAACGGGTTTTTTTTTTTTTTGTTCTGTTTGACAGTTTTAATGGAGGCATTCAATTAGAAAAAAGAAAAAGGTATAATAAGTCAATTTTTCTTTGTTTGTTTGATGAGATAAAGTTGTTACTGTTGATGGGACCTGAGGTTGGTTTATTGCCACTTTCTGCATTCCCATGCGAATGC